TTGAACAGCGGAAACAACTGATTTGCAGAAATGATGCAAATCCGAAGTGATTTATTTTTAAAGAATTTAGAGAAAGCGGGCAGTTTTGAATTGCTCCTGTCATTTTGTGTATCATACTTCCCACCTCTCTTGTGGAGACGAATGATAAGCTTATTTTCAAAGAGATGGAAAGACAGAAGATTCAAAGGATAGATTAAAAAGCTTTAGCAATGGACAAAGAAGGGAAGATCTTTCGTGAGTAGAAAACTAGGAATATTATCAGGCCCAGGAGAGTAAGAAGATTTTAAAGAATTTATAGCTAAAAGGAGAGAGCAGTGTGAAATAAATGAAGGTGGTATAGAAATAAATGAGGAAATGGAATAATGATAAGAAATATTAATAAGACAAAGTGAAGAGTAAGTTATTTGAAAAAATAGCAAAGAGCAGAATCAAAATCATTGATAATGTTATCCATCATGACAGAAAAAGAAGATGACAAGATTTAAGCTTCAAGTTTACAAAATTGTTAAACTGTCCTGGATTTTGAGTTAATTGTTTTTGCACCGAGTTAGATAATTCTCATGGTATTGTAACTCAGAAGAAAGAAATTCGACTTGGCTATGGAATATTTAGCCAAGTCTGTACACGAACCAGACTTGTTGAACTTTCTACTGTAGGCTGCTATATACATCCTCAGGAAGATATAAAGCAGGATATCTAGACACATTAGAAATTAGATAGTCGTTAACAAATACAAGGTCAAGTGTTCTATGCAAATGAATAATAATTAAATTGATTTGAAACAACGGAGTATCAAGCATGCAATCTATAAAGTCATGCTGTGCTGAGGGCACTATATAATTTTCGGCAGTGAATAATGACTAAGAGATGTTCGGTAAATTAAAATCAGCCAACACCAAAAAAAGGTCATTTTCACGCACGTGTGAAGAAATTTCTTTTATACAAGTAATATGTTTCATATAAAGTTAAAGAAGGACATAAGAGCAGGACATAAAACAGAAATGATCTGACTAGAGAGTGGCTTTAACGGCAATTGACACTCCAACACCTTGAGTTGGCCGATCATTTCTATGCAAAATAAAACTATTCGAAAAAACCTTACAATCAGAATTAAACTTAACCATGTTTCTGAAAATGCGATTATATTCGAACCGAAGGAAGTGCCGGCAATGAAAAGATTTTTAAGCTTGGAAATGAGAGCTCTGACATTCTGATAATGAATAAAAATTTGGTCAGAAGACAAGGTTAATTTTTTTGGGGAAAAATTGGTACCCTGTATTGAAGGGACTGGAAGGGTGACAGGCTGGACACCCATTTTAGCTTGAACTCGTGAACATTCATGTGTAGAGGCCAAAATTTGTGATCTGAAATGATTGGAAAACAAATCATGTTAATCATTTGAATGATGATATTTCACAAGGGTTGGAGAAATAACATTTTGCAATTGACACGCTAACAGAAGATTTGCTGGCAATGAAACAGGGGTAATTGAGCAGTCGCTCGGATAAGGCGATAATGACAACATGGGAGATAAATCCCAGTTGAAAGGAAGGGACAAAAGAGGCATAGGTGATACGCCCAATATAACTCCTGTCGCACCTGCAATCAGCACACAAGGCGGTACTTCGCCTCATAGAGCAAGAAGGCGGCACTGGCAAACGCAAGCGCCCCAGCGCTCCCCTGTCGCGTGACCAAGCCATCAAAAAGGGCAAGACCAAAAGACTATTTAACCAGCAAGCATCAAGGGCACTATAAGCCAGCCGATGAAGCGACGACATCGCATCAACTCGTGTAAGGCTTAATAGTTTTGCGGCTCAAGACAGTGCCGACAACGATGCTGAGGAAAGTCGAGAGACATCGAAATACATACTATGAAGTAAGAAGCCAGCATGCTGGAGGACCTACCACTGCCTGCACTATCTTCACCGCCTCCGAAGTCTAGAAAACCTGGACCCATAATGGTTCCGGGAATAAAAGACATCCACAAATGTCAGGCTGCTTTCGACCAAGCCATACCATCTAGCAGCTACTCGACCTGTACGTCTGGGTCAGGCCTTACCAGACTATACACCAGGGACGTTCCAACATTCCGCAAAATAGTTGCCTTCATGCAACAGATCAAATGCCAAAACTACCACTACCAACTGCAGGAAGACAAGCCTTTTCGCATTGTCATCAAACAGATGCCGTCTTCTACGGCCCAAGTCTACATTATCAAGGAGATACAAGACAAAGGACACAATGTAGTAAATATCTATAACACAAAAGGCAAGGTCACAAATGGCACGGAACAAAGTATGCTCCCAACAATAAGGAAGCGCTGAAAATAAACCTTCTATGCCGACAAGGAGTCTTAGTGGAGCGCCCCGCCGATCTGCTGACGTTGTCCAATGCCACCACTGCCTGGATTGTGGACATTCAAAGAATTACGGTATGAAGAGATTCGTCTGTGGTAGATGTGCTGAAGAGCATCCAACAGGAACTCCTCCTTGCAAAGCAGTCCAGGAAACCGACTTCTTCTGCGCCAACTGCGTCGGAAATCACTCCGCCAATTACAAATGGTACATATACCGAATCAAGGTATGCAAGCGGCCCCCAATATCTCGGCTCTCCCCCTTACGGATCATAACACTCCGCAAAATAGAAATAAAATTCAATTCATCCCTTCTCCCATTGTAGCTGGCAAAAACGTATCTTTTGCGGACATGCTCAGATCGGGTAAGACAGCAAACTGCCAGCGGATAGACGCCACCGGATGAAAAAGCGTACGAAAGGCAGCCCAATATCACTCCCGAAAACCAACCGAGCGACGATACTAGCTCGAGAATTGCGGCTCTTGACGAGGTTATGTTAAGGCTTAACTCAAGAATGGACCAGAACCTTATCAAATTTAATAAAAACTCCCAAACTCAGCACATCCTGATGTCGATGATTTTGCGTCTTATCCCATCAAAATGAGCCAACTAAGGATCGGATTATGGAACGCGGATGGCCTGGAATGCGAAACACTGACTATGGGGAAACAGAGCCTGTACAAGTGGGCAGAGCTTGCACGAAGCCATCATTGACTGCAGATGCGATGTTATGGCAACCGGAGATGCAACATATTACGCGTACAAGTCACAACGCAATGTTAGCGCATTAGACTTCTTCATATATGGAAGCCTCCATCGAAGCCAAACATGACCTCTGTTCGGACCATCATCCTCTTCTGGCTACTGTCCACACCAACCTTTTACTGCAGCCAAAAAGAAAGAGACTATTGCCTCTATTGCTGATAAATGGGGATGTTGAATGCTTTCAGGCTGCACTTAATAATTCCATCAACCTCAACATGACTCTGAGCTCCCCTGAGTCCTCGAAGATGCTATCGATTATTTCATGGCGAAGATTCGAGCAGCAGCCAAACTTGCAACACATGCAACAGAACCGATCCAGCCATCTCCCCCTCGTGAATCTATCCACCCGATGGCAGCCCCACTACTGGCATTGAAAAGGTGGCTCCGCAAACCGTTCAATTCTCCACACCCTCCCCTGGAAGAATATATAGACCCTTAAAACACCACATCAACCTGGTCAGTCCAAGGTCCACGTGACTCTTAAAGAGGTCGAATCACATATCTAAGCGCTTAAGATAAGAAAAGCCCTTGGATCTGACGAATTGGACAGCAGAACAATAAAGGTGCTTCCCACCAAGGGCATACTCTTTATTGTGCTCATATTCAATACGATGCTTCGAATCGGACACTTTCCAAGGTAAAAGAAGAGCGCTCTGAGTGCCAAGATAGTAAAACCTAAAAAATCGATCACGCAAGTCGAATCTTATTAACCAATTGGCCTGATACCGACCCTCTCCAAAATATTCGAAAGAATATAATTGGCCAGAATGTCGGAGCTGGATTGCGTTAAGCGGATCATATCAAGACATCAGTTTGTATTTCGAAGACGACATGGGACACCGGAGTAGCTTCACCGAGTAGTTGAATTCATCTTTGAAAGCTTCGAAAACTTCGAGTGTGGCACAAAGGTCTTCGGTTCAAAGTAAAAACGTTGCTTCCCCCTCTCTGTTTTATATATTTCATAGCTTCCTCAAAAGTAGGCGAAATGTTGTGGTAGTCGACGGCACGTTTCCAAGAGTCAAGGAAATCCAAGCTAGAGTCCCCCACAGCAATTTATTCCACGGCCTTCTGTGTATACCACGCCACCGACCAACTGCAAGAATACCTGCACGAATTCGAGACGTGAGCATCTAAGTGGCGAATAGACATGGTTCTTAAAGGAAAAACATCAAGCTCTCTCTGAGCAGCAAGGGGCTGTTGTACAAATTCCTACTGGGCCCAGTATTGCGCTACCCAAGCCATGGAGCGATAAGCAATTGTCAAAATTAGCGAGAGCGCGATGCACAAGCAGAAATATGCAGCAGCGAACACACACACAAACAAGTGTATGCATAGGGGAGCACCAAAGCAAAAGAATCAAAACAGGCAATAACAATAACACAAAACTGACGCTGCGCTTAATAAATGCAAAAACTAACATACTTGCGCTGCACAAGAGATAACACCTTGCACAATTTATAAAAGCTTTTTAAAGAAAGCACCATATTAGCAACATTTTGAAATAAAAAGTAGGATTAAAGCGCAAAAATATATAAAAATCTTGGAGCACAAGTAAATCACGTCAATCACTCTCAACTGAGAACTCTCTTTTGATGCTGCCCACCAATTTAAGACACAATTAAAATAGATCAGGGTATCCTCTAGCTTTCTAACATATCCGTTTCAGCGTGGTAAAATACGTGCATTTACATGCATAAATACGTGGAGAGCCGAGAATGAAAAGGGATCCGGGCATCACCTAGCTCCCAACTAGAACGTCTTACTTGTTATACATACAACTTTTTAACAAACCCGTTTCAGCGTTTCAATTTGTTTCCCAACGTGATTCTTAGCGTCGGTTGGCATTAACTATCGCCTACTACGAGATAATGAAATAAAAAATTAAGACCAATTACTAATCATTTTAAGTAAATCCAACCAATTACACTCATATACTGAACAACAAAAAAGTATGGTAATTATCCATTGATGGGGAGAGGCGGAATGACTGCCAACGTTGGGTGATGAACGCCATCCATTGGTCTAATCTCAGGTAGGGCGGATCTGGAAGAGTAGAAGATAAATAGATAAATTTTTTATTAATTTATATAAGTGTTTGACTTTTGTTTTTCCATTTGTTTGTTGGCCAAAAATTGACGTATCCTCCTGCCACGTCCAGAAAAACAGGTACTGTGATAAAAATTTAAAGTCCAACCCTATTTGCTAATGAAGCCGACACATTCAATTCTTGGCATATATGTAAAGTAGTTAAGCCAATTGAAAAATTATATGCATTAAGTTACTAAGTAAATATATAATATAATATCTGTGTTGCTGTTAATGTTAATTAGTTGTCAAAAATAAATTGTCACTACAATTTCAATTCGCTTAGTCGTTGTCGTTTCTTCCCTCTTGCCATCACTCAAAACCACTATAAAAATATAATAAAAAACAGTTGATAGAGACCAAACGATTGCATATATGTGCAGTATACGCATATGTACACATGTATTTACGTTCTGCTTTGTGCTAAGCGTTGGCGGTGTAATTGTAGTTTGTGTTGTAGTTGGCGCTTTTCGGTCAAGAGACCTCCCCTACACATTATTGATCAGATGTGAAAGTTGTTTGAAGTCGTTTAGCACATAGTGCCACACCAATAATAAAGTATTATTGGGAAAATAAAAACAATTAAAATAGCGGCACAGAAAACTGTCGCAATTATTGTGCTGTTAGAATGCGATAGAATGCGAAACAGACGCGCATGAATGTGTGTGTGTACTTGTATACACAAATTCTTGATGTTTTCGCTAGCTACCCCATCCGATTGCGCAGTAAAACATAACATTGGATCTTCCTTACATGATCTTAATGAAATTTTCTATAGTATATCTTAGTGTACCATAGATTAATTGTGTATTCTCAAAAATTCAATTGCAATTATATTATGGCTTAAATTGGTTGGCAGTATAAGTTGCGTTATTAACTTGATTTATAGCTCTGGAGTTGTAGCGGGGAGGTGGTGATAGGAATAAAATGAAAGAGACTTGATATATATACTATTCTACAAGCGCATATCTAGTTCTTATTATTTACCCAATTTGTTAAAAAAACAGTATGTCGATATCGATTTTTAACGATTTCTTGGAAACGGTGTAAGTTATCGATTATCGGAAATACACTCGATCTGCGCAGGCACTAGGAACAACTACTGCTAAACTATCAAGTCTTTAGCGCTTATAGGTTGGATGGACAGATAGATAGACGTACATGGCTAGATGGACTTGGCCATTAATGCTGATCAAGAATATATATACGTTATGGGGTCGGATATGCTTCCTACTTGTTGTTGTTACATACATTTGCATAAACACATTATACCCTTTTACCCATTTTTAATTGATTAAGGGTATAAAGCGTTACCATCCTGTCACCCTTCCAGTCCCTTCAATACAGAGTACCATTTCTTCCCGATAAAACTAAGTTCGTCTTCTGATCAAGTCTCTTAAAAATCTTTTCATGGCCAGCAACTCCTTCTTACTCTTCCTAATAAAATCGTTGCTTTCAGGATACCTTCGGTGGTCACTTGCCGGACAGACTGTACATTATTCCCCATTTCCCAATACTTTCCAATTCTCTCGCTCTATCTTATGTACTCAACACTCCATATATATAGCATACATTTGTTTACTTTATTAACAATCTTCTTCCTTACTTTTCCTATTTAATGTATTTTCTTATTTAATATAGCAAATAAAGATTATTTAAGAACACATTTTTCTTACACCCTACATCTTGGGTGTAGGCTCTAATAATGTCACTGACAAAATTAGATGTAACAAGTAAGAGGTTCTAGTCGGAAGCCCCCGACTAGGAGATACCCTGAACCCTCTTCTTCCAACACCATATGAATATAAATATTCTATTTTAGAAGCTATATGTCAAGTTTGGTGACTCTAGCTATTATTATTTACCAAAATCGCCCAAGCACACGAAAAACTGAGTCCTTGAGTGCATTGCCACCTCCCAAATCGGTTACAACTTTGCGTCAATCAATAGGATTGGCATAGTATTTCCGTCAATTTTTTTTTTTTTTGTTTTTTCACAAGTGATGAAAAACTCTATATTCACTTAAGTCAGAGAAAAGTAATTGTGCGTGAACAGACGAACATGAAGAGATTCGTAGAAAAATAATTCACATACTTACCAACAAACCAGTATTGATTACTTTCGATCCTCTGTACCCAATTGAGCTCCACACGGATGCAAAAGCTCTTGCATATGGAGCTATACTTCTACTCAGGATCGAAAATAAAGCACACGTGATAATATATTATAGCAAGACGGCATCCCCAACCGAAGCCAAATACGCGTGATATGAACTTTTAACTCTTGCCGTGGTTAATACAGTTTAGTATCTTTGGCATTATTTACAAGGCAGAAAGTTTATAATCTTCACTGGCTGTAATTCGTTAGTCATCCCGAACAAAAATAGAGTTGGTGCCAAGGGTTCACCACTGGTGGGAATATCTTTAAGCCTTTGACTTTTATATACAATATCGTTAAGGCAAGCGGATGGCTCACGTCGATTTTTTGCTTAGGAATCCTCTACCTCACAATAAGTTCGCCGAAAAGTCAAAGAATGTTAGGAAAGCGAATTGAGTAAGCTGAGCTTTCAGAAAATGAGATTTGGGCAGAGCAACAAAGATAAGAAGATATTGCTGAGATATTTTAGATCGTCGGTTATAAACCAAGTGCACGAAGCCATTATGCATCTAGAATGAGAAAAGACTCTCGATAAAGTATATGACCATTTCGGGATTGAGGGCATGGAAAATATCCGAAAGTTTGTGGAAAGCTTCATAACTTACAGAGTTTTAAAATCGAAGTCAGGAAAACCACGTATTGAGTTACACCCCATTCCAAAAGTAAGCATTCCATGGCACACAGTGCACATAGACACTTCAGGCAGGCTTATTGGTAATAATGATCGAAAAGAATATGTCATTTTACAGAATGACGCATTTAGCAAGTGCGTTTATCTTTACCATACTTATACCCTAAGTGCGGAAAGTTGTATTATGGCATTAGAATTCTCGATAGCGGATCAGGAAAGAAGTTACGCGGGTACTAAATTTGTAGACTACTACGCAGCTCAAAAGATAAAACTGCACTTAATAGATACGCGAGCAAGTTGTGCGAATGGTCAAGTGGAAAGGGTGATGAGCACATTAAAGAATCTATAAACTGCAGTTGAAAAGAGCACGTGTTCTTCGCAAGATGCATTGGGAGAGGTCCAGCTAGCCATTTATTGTAGAGTAAATAGAGTCACCAAAGCGAGTCTTTTGGAACTGTTAATGGAAAAGGTTACTCGACTACAACTTGGGTTTAATCTGAAAATGAGGTTAATCTGGCCGAAATCAGAACATTAGCTTCAAAAAATATTGTAATTGCGAGCAAACATGACAAGTCTACGTTTGACAGAAACAAGCCAAGGTTAGTGATTTTGTTCTTTTAAACAGCAGGGAAAGACACCAAACAAAACATGATCATAAGTTTCGAGATTCTTCTCAAATAATAAAGGTATAAGATAATGATAGGTATAAGAGTAAAACACAATGCAAATATCCGCATGAGATCTTAAGAAATAGCTAAAAATCGAGGAGAGCCCGCTATGTAAAACCGTTGAAACAGACGATAGAGAAACCGTTGAAACAGACGATAGAGAAACCGTTGAAACAGACGATAGAGAAACAGTCGAAGCAGACGAAAGAGAAGCCGTTTAAACAAACAAACGGTAGTGGAGTACTTGAAATAGAAGGTAGTGATTGATTGGTACGTAGCGGTACCTGGCCCTGAAGCTCTAGTATTTGTTGATGTTGTGGATTCAGAGAAATCAAAAATTCTTAAGGACGAAAATATGTTGTGGAACAACATATAATTAATTTGATGTAATTAAATGATACAAATTTAATGAATCGGACGGACGGACAGGCGAACAGACAGACAGACGGACATAGCTAGTTCAACTCAGCTATTGGTGGTGGTCAAAAATATATACTTTATGGGGTCGGAGATGCTTGCTTCTGCCTGTTACATACATTTATATTTTGCATAAATACAATATACCCTTTTACCCATTTTTAATGGGTTCAGAGTATAAAAAGGGGCACAGCTGGCCGGACTGGCAAGTAAAACAACTCCATCGTTCGGTGATGCTATTAGTAATTGGTGTTCCCTTATAAGGCTCTTAGCATTTAATTTGCATTATGTATTTGTTGGGGAATGTATGGTTTAATTAGGAGCCTTATCGATATTTACTTTGAGTGTTGATTGTAGATGGTCTTGCATGGGTCTGTGTTGGCACCGAGACTCGTGCCGGGGTGCGTATTCGGCAGGGACTTCTAGCGTCGAAAGAAACAACTCGATTCAATTCGATTCGTACGAGGCGGTACGATATAATATAATTCGAATGCTGAAATCTTTATTATTCTTTCATTATTTAACAACCTATATTTTACATGATTATGAGACTTACATTTGTGCTCCGCACGCGCTTCTGTTCTCTTTCACTTCTGCTCAGCTGCAAGCGCAAAACGAAAATGAACCTCGACAAAAATGCATATTGTGCAGCTGCGTGCGATCGACTTATCATGTAAAAAATAATTCTAACGGTGCGCTTCCAGTCTAAGCAGCGTGGGCTGCTTACAGAAAAAATGCGAGACCCAGTAGGACTTAGTCAACAGCTATTTTCACTTCGCCCCGTAACATTCCCCACCCCGTAATTCACGAACGTCCGTGCAGTGTGTTACCAACTTTAAAGTCAAGCATAGCTAGCTTTCCATCGGCGGTTCGCACCACGGTACTTCGGCACTTCACCCTTTGAACGGTGCACGTCTACGACCACTCCTCTTGTACAACAGTTTCGCTTGGCACCGTCGTCCACTATTATAACGATGTCGTCGACTGATATTGGTTCGAGTGGCGGTTGAAACCACTTAGTACGTTTGGTGAGTGTAGGCAGATACTCGCGCAGCCATCTCTTCTAAAATTGGTCAGCCAATTGACTGGCCACTCGGAAGCCTCGTGCCAAGCTAGCTCCGCCTTGCTCCCGTTATCCTCTCTCACGCAATCCGCTTGAATGACCTATAAGAAAATGATTTGGAGTCAGGGCTTCGGACTCAGATGTCTCCAAGGGAACATAAGTGAGTGGCCTTGAGTTGAGCACGCTTTCTACGTCAGCCAATGCTGCTCGTAGCACCTCCTCTCGTAACCCAGAGGGCGGCAGAATTTCCGACAGTATTGACTTTGTAGAGCGCACCATTCGGTCCCACGATCCTCCCATGTGGGGTGATCCTGGCGGGATAAAGGTAAACTCGAGTTCTGGGTACTGTCGCTTGATCAGAGCCGGCGATATACGTTCAATTTCATCTTTTAATACTCTGCTAGCGCCTCTGAAATTTGTGCCATTGTCCGACAGCTTGCGGCGGGGGCAGCCGCGTCTGGCCACGAACGACTTCAGTACGCATAAGTATGAGTCAGTTGAGAGCGACGTAGCTATATCTATGTGAACGGCGCGCACCGTGAGGCATGTAAATAGCACGCCCCAGCACTTCTCGCGACGCCGTCCAACGACAATGTCGTAGGGGCCGAAGTAATCCACTCCAGTATATGTGAACGGTGGTGATATAACTCAACCAGCAGATACGTCAATTTATGTCGTCTTGGCAGAATTATCGGGCGTTTTACGCAGACTTCGACTTCTTCTATATTGTCTATCCGTCCTTTAATACGTAGAATGCCCGAGTCATCCACATAAGGGGAGCACTTAAACAGCAAGCTTTTGCGATCGGTTAAGCGGCGCCCCGACCTTAAGCAGGTGATCTCACTATAAAACTCCTCTTCTTGACAAATCCGAATAAAACTCACATCCATTTCATTGCTTCTTTTAAGGAGCAACGTCTTCTGCAGATCCAGTCCTCCGTCCAATCTGACCTTCTTAGTAATATTCCGTAGGAAGTCCAGTACGCATAGCTGTACGGCTCTCAATTTTTCTAGCTTGCTGAAACGCTGCAGATCCGGCAGAATACATCTCCAGGACGACGTGTGATTGGGTTGTTCTTCAGCATGGTACAACATGTTTAATGCAGGGCCTATTTCCGATTGTGGCCACTGCGATTCTTCTAGATACAAAAATGATGGTCCATTGAACCACCTGGTTGAGCCATGAATTTCAGGCGTTTTAGTAAATTTCGTACCATCGTCTGCCACGTTTTGAGCCGATGGTACCCATCGCCAGCTGTCCACATCTGATTCTTCTAAAATCTCTCCTATCCGAAGCGCTACGAATTGCTGGAACTTTCGAGCATCGGAACGGATCCAGTAGAGCACATCCTTTGAATCTGTCCAGAATGTTCGTCTATGTATACGTACCGACATTTCCTTTTGGATACATTTGGCCAGTCTCAGACCTTAGACCGCGGCCATCAGTTCCATTCGAGGTATGGACACGGGCTTTAGGGGTGCTACTCTCGTTTTCGAAGCGACCAAACTGCAATGTACTTGGCCATCAAGTTCAGCCCGCAAAAATACAACTGCGGCGTAAGCATTCATACTGGCGTCAGCGAATGTATGCATCTGCACAGCCTGGGTTCGGCTCACCCACTTCATGCACCGTGGAATGCGGACGGCATTCAAATTTGAAACTAGATCAAGCCAGTGTTGCCAATCGGCTTCGTCTTTTTTTTATTTATTTATTTTATTTATTAAAGGGGAAGCGTGACGAGTCTCCATCACGCCAGAGAAGCTTCTGTGCCGGTTGGTCTTCTTGGCGCACCTTAACTTGATGAAAGGACGCTCTCAGAAGCGTATTAGAACCCCCATCAAAGATGCTAGTGCATCTGGACCTTTCAACAAACAATCGTTCAGCGACATGCCACTAACTTTGGCAGCCGCATCCCAAACCAGGCGCGTCTTTTTCTTGTTCGGATTGGTGACTGTAAAGATAGGAAGAAACCAATATGTAGTGTTAGCTACTAACTCACTATCCTTCAACCGGTGGATATATCCCTTCTGCTTGTAATCATGCATCGTGTTCATCATGAACTCTTTCAGTGGTGGGTCTTTTGACATCTTTGCCTCTAAACATTTCAGGCGCTTAACAGCCATCTGATAACAGTTTGGCAGGTGCATGCGATCGAACCTCTATAACAGGCCGGTCTGCCAGCGCTTTTCGTCTTCTAGATAGGTTATTGTTGCCTCCATAATCTGCATCGAGCGTTCGTCCTCTTTGGATCTCAGCGGATGTCAGGAAACGCTCACACCTAGTGACTCAATTGAAAAATAGTTGTTCAGAGCTTCATCCATCCCACGCGCCGCACTGCACTGGCAAATATGTAGCAGCCGAGGCGTGGTGCTGTCTCCCACAATGGGGCGGCCATATATGGCCCATCCTACTCTGCTTCGCACTGCTATGACGTCGTCGTTTTCACCTTCTCGTATCTCCAAGGATACAGTTATTTTGATACTGTCTAAACCAATGATAAGCTGAGCCTTGACGTTGTTATTCGGCAGAATAGGAAGCGTAGATAAGTACTTCCGAGACTTGAGCAACTGTGGCCCGATACTTTGCTCTGGTAAGTCCAAGTTCGCGATTGCTCGCACGTTTTTTAAGGCATACTGTATTGCGTTATGTTCAGGAGCTGAAATTCTCACAGCCACGGACATCGACTCAGGTTCATTTTTGGTTATGTCCCCTGTCCATTTAAGACACAGCTGGGTCGCAGGGCCATCTAATTCCAGCTCGTCTGCAAGCGCTCTTTCTATTAACGTACACTCAGCTCCTTCATCCACTAATGCATATGCGCGCACGTTCTTTGATTTACTATAGAGCGTGATTGGAACATATCGAAACAGTGTCTTACTCGCGGAGCTGCCGTGAAACATAACGGCAGACTCACTTGCCTTAATCCGGTGGTTGCTACCTTGACCCGTGTGCTCGACTTTACTACCACTCATGGTAGGCGTATGCAGAAGCACATGGTGCGTTGTCACCCAACCATCTACATGACACTTCTTCTTTGATTTACACTGTTGTGCACGATGACGTAAAAAGCATCAAAAACAGAGCCTCATTTCCTTAACAAGTTCCCAGCGCTGATTTGTACCCATTGATCTGAAGTCGTCGCAATCTGATAGACGGTGGTTACCGGCGTACTTCGCACATGAAACCCTCTCCTGTTCCTGTTGTGAACGTTGTTGCTGAGAACCCTCAGGGCTATCTACCGTGTTGTGCACAAAAATTCTCTCTATAGTGGTTTTCGTGGAGCTCTTCTTTTCGCTATCAGCCAGTGGTGTCTCGTAGGGCGTGAGCATAGTGGCGCACATTGCCACATTGAACAGCCAGTTATTAAGGTGGCCAAACTGCTACCTTCATTCGACATTCGATGCCGGCCCCAATCCAATTTCATATTGCTGGGCATCTTCGCAAAAAGCTCGTTCAGCAGCGCGGGCTCGTAAAGATATTCGTGCATACCAATGGCCGCTATCGTTGCGCAGTAGTTTTGGACAGCTAGGGCCAGTCGGATAACGGTGTTCAAGTTGTCCGACTTTATTGCTGGTTCCTCTCGGAGCACATGCTGCAGAGCAGCATGTACTATTTCAGAGCGCCCATACAACATTCGCAATGTGCCTATAGCATACGGCACTGTAGCTGGGATCATAAGTTTTCCACGCACCGCATCCAGGGCTTGCCCTCTGAGGCACTTCTGAAGCCTGATGAGATTTTCCTCGTTGCTGAATCCACATCTCTGTGGATTGCTCATAATTGCTGATAAAGATCAACCATTCCTTTGCTGATGACATGTCGCGCGCTGATTTGCGCAAGTGTCAGCGATCCATTCCACGGCGTCGCATTATTACAATGCACATTGTCAAATTGCTGCCGTGGCACGTGCTCAATGGATCTATTGAGCGCTCCCAGATCTGTGTGGCCCATGTACGCGGCAGTACTGTGCTCCATAGCCTGGTTAAACACCGTCGTATTTGCTTGTTATGGCAAACTGGGGTGTACACTCCAATTAGCCGCAACCTGTTTCTGCTTGTAGATCACGTTCTGGTATCCTAAAGGGTCGAAAAGAGCTCCCACTTTCTCAGTTCTTTGCTGCATTGGTGTTGAACTTTCCCTTGGACCAGTAGCAGCGGACGACGTAGACGGACAGCCGCTATAACCTTTTTCTTCACCGGCGACTTTATCTTGTACTCCAGCAGGAACAGGCGATCCGTTAGCCTGTCCCGTTGACCATGCCGTCACAAGCGTTGCAGTTTCACCGGGTTGAATACTACTTGTCGTCCTTCTCGCACTTGCATCTTGTTCATCACCGTCAGCCATCTCGCCACACCAATTCTATGAAATCCGCTTTGAGGTTATGGCTGCTAAGTGTGAGTCTAGCTCTTGTACCACGTGT